TATGTTTGTGATTTTACAAAAAATGCAAGAAACAGTCAATAAGAAGTACGCAGCAAAGGTTTGGCGATGGGCCAAAAAATAAAAAAGCCTGTGTCTTCTCCAGAACACGAGGCTCCAGTGATGGAGGTCAGCACGTCCAGTTCCCTTCTATGGTTTAGCATTTAGCTGATAATGGCAGAGTAAAGACTGTTATTATCAATCTCTGGTTGTAACAGTACCTGTGTACATACCCAAGAGTTTGGTCCAAGACGTGAGGGACAAATACACGTGTGGACTGCACTAAGTCCAACCATAGGTGGAGTAACTCCTGCTGACAAACATAAAGAACTAACTCATATCATTATTAATGATCATCAAAATCATTAATACTGAACTTTTAAAGTGAAAGAAATGAAATGAGTACTAGATTTATTACAGTGGGCCAGAAGTACAGTACCTCATAATCACCAGGAGCAGAGATAATATTTGATATAATGTTTTCAGCACTTCAGAAAACTGTTTCAATTTCATCGACATTTTTTCTTAGGTCTCAATAATATACTGTTATTAAGGTTTTATGATATCAGCTCTTATCAAACGCCAGGATAACTGGTAATGATGCGTCTTCTGTAACATTTCAAGTCATTAAAACCCCCAGTAAAAATGAATAAAAATCCTTGTTGCCTTTGTTGAAATGTAGATGTTTTGTCACTTTCTTGGTCAATAGCTTGACTCCCATAAAAGAACATCATTACGTTCTTTCCGCTCCTTTATGTCTTTAGGAACAAACGTTAAGCTTCCGACCTGCCAGCCCACAGAGGCTGTGTTTTTATTTCCCAGTGCTAACACCAGAGTGATAGTGGCCATAAACACCACTATTTAGACCTGATCATTATTCCAGGCTGACACAAAGAAGTGACTGGAGTAAACACGGTGAAATGTTTGTCCTGCCTGGCGTTTTAATTACAGGGAATTATGGCATGTGGTCGGTGATTATAGCATGTGGTCGGTAGAAGGAGTAAATATTCAATGGAATAATGGGAGAAACAACATTTGATGGGAGTTGGACGACAGAAGTAATTTAAAATAAGACCTTGGAGGGGCCTGCCCACTACTTCGGGTGTCATTGCTAAAAGGAATTAACTCTCAACCCAGAGGTGGACGACCTGTCTTTGTTCAGACCTTGAGTTTGCAGGGACACAGCAGTCTGCGGTGAGACAGCTGTGTCCTCTACTTATGTACAATCCATGGCAGACACATAATCCCCTGGAGTATGACACTGTAGGATTAATAATCTGCAGTTCAAACACTGGCCCTGGGAGACTGTTCATACCAGAGGCTAATGGCCGATTAGTGGGCAACTGCAGACACTGCAGCAAAGGTCAGCCAACAGTTACTTAGTTAGAACTCCGTTAGTGTTCCTAGGTGACTTCCACTGTCCAAACATCTGTATTGACACTGAAGAATGATGGGTAATAAACACTACCTGCTGGCCTTGACTTTACCTGGGATGTTGTGGATGGTGATAGCGAGGATGAGGAGAAGGATGCGTCTCCAGCTACTTCCTGTTTTCCTGGCCTCTTCCTGTTGTTTACTTTCCATTTCCTGTTCATTCAGGACGCCTGGATGCTGTGCCGTCCTCCTTCTCTGGTGAACATCTCCGTTCTCCATTTTATCTGTGAGACAGCAGAGTAACGTCACTGTGAATATACATAATAAACCTTCTTCCTAATAAATCGTCTGTGACTCAGCACAAAAGCAGGGAAAGAAGCGTACAGATGACTCAGCAGCAGACGTTGGAACTGCTGAGAAACAACCAGATCTGTGATTGTTTTAGGACTGCTCCAGTCCTGCCACACTATGACAAGCAGTCCCAGCTGACTTTAGGTCCCTACAAGTGCTGGAAAATCCATTCCCTTTATGACGAAGGGACGATAGAACAGAGCGCAGAAGAATATCGTCAAAATGACAAAATGCTAACAGCTAAGTTAGCACAAAACAAAAGCTTTAAAGTCTGTTCAACTGTGTCAGGACTGCTCCAGTCCTGCCACACTATGTGGAAACAGGTGTTTCTAAAAACGTCCTACAACAACACTTTGCCAATCAGCCTAATTTGAGTTGTCAGTTTGTTGTTCTGTTTACTTCGTGATGACTCAGAACCACAACAGGAAACGTAAACAAAATGCTCAAAATTGTCAGTCAAGCTTCGTAAACACATGCATTTTCCTTCTCAACACCTGAATTCCTGAAGAGGTTTTCTGAGACTCGTGACATTCGGCGAACCGTCCCTGCAGAGATGTTGAACTTTAAGGCGATAAAAGTGATCTGTGAAATGCTGCTGCCTTTAGATTTATCTACCAGGAGGAGCAGAGAGCTTAGAAAAAAAGTCACGACTTCTCCAAGTCAAATCCAGAACAAGGAAAATGGTCGTGCTAATGGGATTATCTCCTATTAGCAGTAACGCTCTGCTGGAGGCCACACAGATGCTTTTTACTCCACAAAACCATAAAAAAGGGAGAGCGATAACAAGCAGTAGCGACGGTTTGGATTGAAAAGGAAAATGAGAGATGGATTCACGATGAGCCTCTTAGTGTGGAGTTTTTTTTTTTTTTTAACGTTAGCTTTCCTCCCTCAGTAATGCAGGTCTTTGTGCTCGAAAAGTGTCACTGGATACCACTGCAGGGAATCTGACAAACAAGGCTGGATTTTACTGTCGTCCAGTTGTTCCTTCAACAGCATTTAAAAAGACAAAGAGAAATGAACAGAATTGGACACGTCTATTTTTAAAATGCAGAAGATAAGTCAAAATGATCTTAAGGATTAGTGTGCACAGTAGCTACATTAGCGCAGTCAAAGAGTCTGATGAACCCAGGCAGGAATGACTTCCTGTGGCTAGAGGCGTTCCTATGTCTGAACCTCATGGAGTGGACGTGAGTCACTGACCAACAGACAGCAGTCTGTCACAGAGTCTAATTCAAGCCCCACAACGTCACTAGCCTTAAGGGTCAGTTGAACAGAGTCAGTTGGCATCTACCACTCTGACACTGATGTCCCGTCATGTCATGAACAGCATTCAGGACATTACTGGCGTCAGACAGATGTTGACTGACCTCGGTCGCCTTAGGAAAAAGAGGCGACCGTGGCGTCACTGTTCTTAGCCCAGTCCAGTTTACTGCCAACATAGACACCTGGGAAGAGGAGAGAGCCCTTTACTTGGGCCAACCATTCACAGGGTATTCTATTTTGGGGCATTTGTTTTAGACTAGTACCTCAAGTCACTGTAGGTGACTCACCTAATCCTAACTGGAATTAAAATCCAATCACATAATTAAATTAGATGCATGAGAAGTGTAATTTCAGGGTTAGCTAAAGTATAATTGCCACTTAATCTAATGATAATTTTAAAAATGAACCCAACGAACTCAGATGCTAAGATTTTAATATGTGTTAATTGTATTAAGTAACTTGTCAAATTAATCTGTTTTAATGTATTTTATCACAGGGGCAGCATGACATGAACTGACTCACACAACAAAGACACAGCGACTCTGTGACGGCTGAAGACCGAGCTGAGAGTTCAAATGTCTGCAAACATTTAGAGACACATCAAGTCATCTGCCTTCATCTGAACTCTATTACCAGTCGACTCTTTTCTGTTATTAACCAAATCTGTTTCCATTAACAGACTGTCATAAGCTCGCTGTGTATTGTCTCCTGTTTTTCACCAAATGCATTAGCATGTCTCCTAGATTATTACTGTTCCAAAGATGAACTCATCTGTCCATCAGCAGTTACGCCTTTCCTTTTTACGTAACATCCAAGAAAACCACTTCAAAATATGTCAGCGTGACCGGAATACCAAAACTGAAATGAAGTGATACACAGACGTGTCCCTTTAAGGACCTGACAACACTCCAGGGTTGGAGTTGTTATAAAGGAAGCACTCATCTTCTGATGATGATGATCACAGACTTCAGGTGGAGCAGCGAACAGGAAAAGCCATGAATGTGCAGTTCTTTATAATAATGTAGAGACGTTGGATGGAGGGACTTGTAATGATTCATATCCATGTCATTTGAATTTCCTATTTGTAAACCGGCAGGTGCTTCACTTCAAGGGGGAGATAAAAGTTCAACATGCAAATAACAAAGCTATTTCTCTACATCCTTCACCTCACCTTAACACTCACCCTAATACACACACACACGCACACACACAATATTTATTTATGACGCTTGTTAAGCATTTCATGCTTTGTTTGTTCTTCACCTTCGCATTTCATTAAAACCAAGTCCCTGTGCAATTCTGGAACTTATTCCATTATTAACTAACTATCTCATGTTACGATTCATATGGTAGAAATATTGCAATATATACGTATATTGACTATCGAGATTAAGCAGAAAAAAAAGAGAAAATAGGAAGATGTTCATTTTCCAAAACTCACTCTGAGTTGAAAAAGAGGAAAATAGGAAGATGTTCATTTTCCAAATTTCCAAAATACCAACGGTACTCGACTGTACCTAAAGATTCCCCATAGTGTCTGGGAATGCGTCTATATGGATATGAACAGGTCTACTGGGCAGCTGCACACGGCTGGAAATGTAAACTTCAGTTAATCAGTAATAGACTGTGTCAACGTGACGTTGACCAAAGAGTTTTTTAAACTTCAGTTAATCAGTAATAGACTGTTGACCAAAGAGTTTTTGGTTCAGAACATTTCCCTTGAATAAATTGTGTTTAGGTGAAATTTAGCATCACTTTCTGGTTTTGTGACTTTCATTTATTTGTTTCATTCAACTCAGCTTCTGAGGTCTCTGGTTTGGATTTATCACTCTGACTATAAATGCATGGAGGAGTTGGCTGTGACTTTCCTCCAGGTGGGTGGAAACACAACAATGGTGGAGAAGTTAAAGTCTAGACTCACTGACCCTGAGAACAAAACACACTTGAGAAGTGAAAACCAAACTGAAACATTCTTTCACTTCTGACCATCTTTTACAGCAACCTCATCTGTTTGGCTTCCACACACATTTCCCATCACTCATTTTACACAGTCTATTGAGTATGACTGATCATGTGACAAATAAATAAAATATAAAAGTCTTGAATAGTATTTTAGAGGGGATATGATTCTTGTCCAGAGAATATCAAACCACGTGCCATAACTGGTCCACGGGCCAGGGTTTTGCAATAACTTAGAGATTCTGATATTAATTATTTACTGCATCTGACTAACTGATTTTAAATGCCTTTAAATGTATTATAAACAGTATTTAAATCTAATCTTATAAAGAGTTCTCTCAGTTCTAGATGATTCTGCTGTGTCCTGACAGGGTGAGGTTCTCTTCTCCCTCTACTGGGGCAGCAGCACTGCTGACAAACCGATGAGCTCCCCTCCAATATTCCTGCCCACATTACTGGATATTCATCTTCCAGCCCAAATGGGATTCCCAAAAAAATAAATTTGCCCTCACGCACCAACACACCTCTACTTCACTCACACCTCGTCCGCACCGCCTGGTTTTCCCACCTGCTGCCGTTTATCACCCTCCAGCGCTCGTTAGCAGCCGCCGCTGCAGCATCATAAACATGCAAAAACAGTGTGTGATTTATGACTGTTATCACAGGGCCACTGGACAAACACTACTGCAGGAACATGCCGGGCACTCACACCGGCCACAGCCTGGCTGTGGTCACCGTGACAACGGCTTCAGCTTCGGCCAGAACTCTGGAACAATGAATCAGAGAAATTTAAGAAACGGAGGTGGAGGTGACCTTTCTACACAGCAGTCCATAACTGGGAGATGATTTACTTGATTCACGTAAGAATCTCTCATTTGGTTCAACGTTATCAGCCTCTGACACTGATGAATCAGTCTCCTGTTATTTCATCAGGAACTATGAAGGTCAGTGTGCTCCCAGGTTCATCTCGCTCTGAACTTTAAAATACTTAAAATATTATTCTTGGTATATAGTGCATAGTGAAAAATATCAAAATATTAACCAACAATCTCAGAATCAATAATTCTGAGCTTTTCAATTACTGAACGTGGAAAAGAATCATGAGGAATTAAAAAGAGACAGTTTACTTGTCCACACTTTCCAAAAAAGTCACTACATTATCACATGAATATTTTCGTTAATGATAATGTTTTTCTCATTTCACCAAAGCAGCAAATCTCACTCTTTAACCTGTGGTTAGGACTTCCCTCACAGCCTGTGACCTCAGCCCACCCACGGTCTTCATCCTGGGAGCTGTCTGCTCTAATCAGAGCGAGCACTGCTGGACTGTGGACAGCTGCAGGGCGGACGTGATGCACTTTAGGTCACGTCACCTGAGGCAGAGACCAAACCTGTGCCCTCCACTGCTGTCTTTGTATAATGACATGGTTGGTGGTGACATGGGACAAGAGGCCTGGACATTAAATGGAGGAGAGAGATGAAAAAATCAATCACTCCAGGGATATTAGCCACCTTTACTGATTACTGGTGATTCCTGACACTGTTGAGGGTTGAGCTGGTGGCACCTACGTGGGGTTGACATACAGCTGCAGCCATTTCTAGTTTTCAACATGTATCACTATGAAAAATCACAGAACGGCTGTGAGTCCCGGCTGATGGACAATAAGGTTGGAGGACAGATCATGGAGGTGCAGTCACTGTCTCAATGTTT